TAATTCTGATAATTTAATTAGCTTCATTCAGTTGCAGTAGTTCCATTGTTTCTCAATATATTCTAACTACAATAATATTGTCATAGAAACAGACAAGTTTAGGTAATAGAGCTGAGAATGAATAACAATCGAGGACTCGCGTGTCTTAGTAGTATAACCCTACAAAAAACTTCAACCCCTGCAATAGGCACAGTACACATAGCCCATTATGTATTTTTATGTGAAACAACAAACTATAATAAAACTCTGTCTTCGTGGCTAGTTTGGGAGCAAGTTAATGTGCATTTCAAACTCGAAAGTAATTATGGTTTTGGTGTCTCTTGATGACTATCATTATACTGTCTTACAAATATCCTGAAGAGTACCCTACGCGACACATGATGTAAAGGGTTAGGTCAGTGACCTCAAGGCACAGACGCAACAGTCCTTAATTTTTAGATGCTTACCGGAGGGAGGGTAATTAAACAGAATAGCAGGACTTACTTAATTGTAATACGTACCTACAACTGTAAATGTGATGATAATTCAGCAGCACATATCGCGGGCTTGAAACTTCTGATCCTAAAAAATGTTTGGAGTTATCTGTTTTCAAACTCCGATCATGTAATAGTAAGACATTTCCGAAGAGCTTATGATAAATGCTGAAGCTTAAATACAATATAAGTAGTAAAGGATCCGTTGTGAGATAAAAGGAAGATAAAAATGTGCACTATATATGTGTGTGTTGACGAATACTATAATATAACTGTTCACACTACTATTAAACTGAATTAGAGCTTAGTAAGTTTGTTTGTTTGTAATTAAGCACAAAGCTATACAATGGGCTATCTGTGCTTTGCCCAGCACGGGTATCGAAACCCGAATTCTAGCTATGTAAGTCCGCAGACATAAGCCTAGTAAGACGTTTCAATTTCAATGTTGAATCTATATAATAAACCAGTGTTTTTAATTGCTATGATATAACCTAGATTGCAGCAAATACATCAACCTTCTAATCAGATAGAAGGAGTTATATCATTATTTGAAAAAAACAACAACAATGTAAGAAATGAATGATAAATGAAAAAACAAATTGTGATTTACTTCCAACATTGTTTAGAAAGTTACATTTGTTTATTATTAAGCACAAAGCTACACAATCGGTTATATATGATAGAGAAGGTTTATCTGACGAAAATGACTTGTTACAGTTTAGGATTATGTGTTTCACTTCCAAAATTTTTCCGGGAGTTTTCTTTGTTTGTTATTAAGCACCAAGTTACAAAAACGGTTATATGGGCTGTACACACATCGCAAAACTCGATTTTAAGCGTTATAAGCCCTCGTACTTACCGCTGAGTCACCGGGAGTTGTTCGTTAGTGTTCCGAAAGTTCAGGGAGAAGATTTCCCAGTAAAATAATGATCTTTAGTGTAGTTAGAAAGTTTCAAGGTCTTTAATTGGTTCATTAAACGAAACTGAAACGCGTTAAATTCATTTGAAACCTCCGAGAAAGGTTTTACATGCTTTTATGTCGTAAATGGAAAAGAATACTTTCTAGCTATAGAATTGATTTTTTAACCGATGGTTTTCAAAGCGTAAAAACGATTTGGTTGAATCTTTAATTTCGTTTTCAAATATAGAGTTATGGTTGTTTAATTCTTAATACTATATGTTAAGAGGGTTATTATTACGAGTATAGAATAAGTCGTTCGGAACTTGTTATAATGAAAAAAAAATCCTTATAAAATATACGTTTGCAATTTGCGAAGTAGGAGTTAAAAGTTTATGGACACGCGAATAGCAGATTACAGGAACGTTGAAGTCACGGTCTAGGTACAAACCTAATTAAAAATAATATTCTTAAATAAAGCAGCAAATAAACTTACCTAGAGAACCAATTTTACTGAAGGAAAGTAAACTATATATAAACTTATTTGATGTGAATACTGCCCACATGTGTCAGTTTGTTCATCTCTCTTGTTTCATCTTGGAAAAGCTAAAATAATATATAAACACATTATTAATTGAAAGAGTGATTAACAGTTAAGAGCCGTACATTTTATGAGGAGATTAAAAAATTATCAAAACTATTGAGCATAAGAAAGCTTGAACCACCAAATGCATTAAAACGGTGTTACTTTAAGGTGAGATGCAAAAAGACAAAAATATAGTATTAATGTCTTCTATTAATGCAACAAATGTACTACAGAACACAACCAGGGGTCCTCATGAGCGAATAAAGTAATACTGTAATACCAATAAGCATAATTTATCAGCTGACATAGTTTTTTATAAACGTCACTAAAAACAAGCGATTCAATAATACCACATACTTGAAGACGTGATCAATAATACCACATACTTGAAGACATGATCAATGATACTACATACTTGAAGACATGATCAATAATACCACGTACTTGAAGACATGATCAATAATACTACATACTTGAAGACATGATCAATGATACTACATACTTGAAGACATGATCAATGATACCACATACTTGAAGACATGATCAATAATACCACATACTTGAATACATGATCAATGATACCACATACTTAAAGATCAATCGCTGCTTATGCAAGTAGAGCAGCAGTAATTCAATCAACTGTTTAATGAATTTCCTTTATTAGTAAAATAAATTATCAGTAACCTTCTGAAAATTACTATATGTATACATATATATATATATATGATTAAAATGAGATATCAGGTGTAGTAATAATGAGTAATTACTGAGAATATAGATATCTCGAAACTAGGTAAAGTTTCAGTCTGAATGGTTAACGTAATACTTTTCTTGTGAAGATAGTTTTAAAACTTGTTTTCAGGTCGCTGATACTTGTTCAGTTCCTAGAGAAAGTACTTTGATAATTTCAGATTTATTTCACAATCTGCTGTTTTCTAAAACATAAGCATACTTTGTAACTGAACAATTTCAGTTAATGATCTCAAATCCGATGAGTGTATGTGTAAACAAATTCTTGGTTTCAGAACTGTTAAGATATTAGTTGCATTTTCTCTTACGTTTAAACACGACTTTTGAAAGTTACCTCAGCAACTTTGTACAATAACAATTTTTACTTTTCTTCGAAAGCTTTGTACCATTAATCAAATCCTTTGAAAATTTTGAGAGTGAGCAGCTTTCTAGATCTTTTAAAAAGAACTTTGATTAACATGCAAAGGGATACAGTTTGGAATTTTCTTTATAATATTTGGAGATTCATGTTTGGAAGTTACTTCTTCACTAAAAATCGGTATTGTGCCAACCTCAAAAGTGTAAAGGTAAGTTAACGAAAACACTTATAATTCATTCCATTGTCAACCTGAATAGGAGAAAAAAACGCGAAGCTGCAACGCTTCATGTAAGAATGCACTCGAAAATGATCTTTAGTTTCTTGTTGTTGTTTTTTAGTGCAAATCTATACAATGGGCTATCTGAACTTTGTCCACCGCGAGAAAATCGAACCCTGAATTTAGTGTAGTGTAAATTTACCGCTGATCTAACAGGGGTGACACTCTTTGGATAAAACATATTAATTTTGAACATGACGAAAGTTCTTACCGTTGTAATTTAAGGAACACTTGAATAAGTGGAATAAGAATAATCATCCGTAAATTAATTTTAGAATAAAAGAGCCTCATTTAATATCATAGGTTATCTTTTAATGGAAACGAAATTTATAAAATTATTAAAGAAAGAAAAGTACGATAATCAAAGGTATAACATTTTGATCTGGATAATAACAGCTTTTTCATGTTTTCATGGAAATTGTTGAAATTCTACTTCAACCAAATGAGATGATCTGCTATAATAGATAGAAATTATTTCTGATAGAAATAATGCTCATGAAAACATCTCAAAAAATTACTTAGCTCTATCAGATGTGAATTTCAGAGCTATTAATTTTGAAGATATTTTCATTGCGTTCTTTCTCTTTTTTTTTTTTGAATTATAACAAGAATTTAGTATGACGTCCAGCTAGATTTATTTTATTCATGTTATTCAAATCCAAATATTAGAAATACCATGTTGTTAGGTATATAAAATATACTCAACTTACTGAAAAGCCGTATTGATGTTAATAAAATGATCATATTCATAAATATTCCGCATTTTCATTTAGTTAAAAGGTCACGTGCATGTCGATTTTAGGTTGAAGAGAAAAATTATATCTGGTTTCTTTTCGAAGAATGGTTTACTCAATTCTTTGCATCACGTGTTTGTTAATAACTTAGATTGGTCATACGGCTTTTGATTCTGTATTCATGCGACATCTGAAAGAAAAAAAAAACCCTCAAATTCCTTGTCATTCAGACTTCGTCTACCAGAAACCAAATTAGGTGCTAGAAGTTCTAGTAAGCACTATATTTCTTTCAAGTTATGACTAGAAGGATTATTTCATAAAGTGACTGCGTTTTACTGATTTCATAAAGTGACGGCGTTTTACTGATTTCATAAAGTGACTGCGTTTTACTGGTTTCATTTCAAGTTTTCTAAATTACTAAAACCATGTAAAGAACTTTAACTGTTTAAAGACCAGTAATAGCCAAATAACAATCCTATGGAAAAATAGTAAACCATAAGTTTTATTAATTGTTTCTTAAAGCTTTAAAAAGCTATCTTCTAATATTATACATGTAAGTAATTTTAACAAGGAACGTATTACTCATGCTCGAAGGAGCCTCAACCATATACAAAGAAGTTTTAAAGCTAAGAACTAAGTTTTAAATTTAATACCTTTTTGTTTTGTGTGAAGGTATGAAAACAACAAAGACAGACAAAAATAATGTGAAACTCTATATAAGGTTAAAAGTACATTTACTAAAGGTATAGAGGGCGCAAGTGGCAAGTAATGTGTTCAGGGACAAATCGGGCTTGAGAGTTTGTTTCTAGATTGAAGTGGTTTGTGTCTCAGTTCACATCGTTCTAAGCTCTACAGCAGAATATTATATCCTACACGATCCATTGGGAAGTTCAGAAAGTTTAGCCCAATAGCAACTACAGCTGTGAAACTATGAAATGTTCCGTAAGTACTTATCTTAATTAGTAATATTTTCTCTTTCAAGATTTTGGCGTCCACTTATTAGTTATGCAGACACGAGCTGCGATTTTTTTCTTTAATTTAAAATGATTAAAATTGCATAACAACGTAGTAAGAGTCTAAATATATCCATTTGCTAATTTATTTTTTAAGAGAAAAAGGCCAAAATAAATATAAGGAAATAACTTGATTGACATTTATTAAGCTGATGAACGGAAAGTTTTATATCTTTTACTACATCTTTTTGAGCGCGTGACGCTTCTAAATGCAATTTAGAGAAGAAAAGAGGTTAAAGTGATGAGTAAAGTCTCAAATGTATCTTTCTTTCTTTAGAGGCTGTCTGTGGTAGAGGTTTTCTTCTAATCAACAAATCTAGAACCAAAGGTGAAACAAGTGAATGGTAAGCCATGTTCTTCGTCGCGCATTAACGAGCCATATCTTCAAGAACCTTGGTTAGATGCGATATATATGTTTTAAAGACAGTTGTAGACTCATATATAAAAATAAAATTGTCAAAATATCGCACATACATGATAGAGAAGTACAAACCAGAGTACTAAATGGAGAGTGGAACAATAGACCCTAAATTAGTAAGACGAGTATTGTTCACTAACTAAATGTAAGAAATAGAAAAAGAAAAAAAGGTAATTAGAACAAACAACTTGAGATGAAACATTTAAATAAAAAACCTCTATGATCTGGAAGTAAAACCTTAGATAACGTACATGAAAGTAATCCAAGTATTGAAGTTACAAAATAACATACATGAAAGTAATTCAAGTATTGAAGTTACAAAATAACATACATGAAAGTAATTCAAGTATTCAGTGTACTGTGTTTTTGAGACAAATTGTTTTATGTCTTGAATTTCCATAATAACAATAATGAGAACATTTTACTTCTGGTTAAATGTTATTCCATAGATTAACTAGATTTTAAGTCCAATCCCTTTGATTATAGGATTTTGTTTATGGCAAACAAAACAACCTGTCGATTGATTGGTTCTATTTATTACAGAAGATTCTTTTTAAGATTATATTTTCTATGATATTTGATTGTTTTTCTGTCGGTCCTTTATGTGTGCTATATGTAACAGTTAAGTCAATAAGAAATAACGGTATAAGAAATTTGTATCGTGATTAATATATACCTAAATATTTGTAGAAACATATATGCGTCTTTGGGCGAACACGAAATTCAAACATACGGTCATGTACATGCATACATGTGTGTTATGTGAAAGGAAAAGAGCCAGCTTTCTGGGTCTACATCAAAAGTACAATTTGAAATATTAATTATGATGAATGAACAACGAATTATAACATTTGTCAAAAGTAGCCTGCGGTAATTACTCCCGAAAGTGTTGAGGATTTCCCTCCCATCAGACGTAATCTAAATAACGCATATCAAGCAATGAATAAATAAATAGATAAAAGTTACAGAATAAATCATGTAGGGGCAATATGTCTTGAAAACTCATTACTATGTAGTATGTTCATCCTATGAACCTCCCATAGCAAATAACGATATTGTAAACATATCTATTGGATGGGGGAATATTGTTTTATTGGAAGTCCAAACTTTGTAAGATAAGTGATATATAACATACAAAAACAACAACAATTCATACATTTACAAATAAGACTGACTTTTTTAAATAAAGTCAAGATGGCTGACCTACTTGGATATTTTCCTCTGAAGCTCCTTTCGTTAGTTATTTAAAACTGAAAGGAGATTTAGACAAACATAATGCGTACAAGTATCTACTCTGTTATATTTTTCATAATTACTTTGAATATTTATTACTGCCGTATCATGTTATTCGGTAAAAACGTTCACTTCAATGGTGATTATATATTGTATTATATATATTAAAATATACCAATGCAATCCGATTTAGATCTATATCGAAAATCAAATGTATTGTATTTTATTGCAAATTTAAGTAATTTTAAAGTATCATATCGATAAAAAGCTCATCCTGTACCAGCTTTTATATATCAGAAAATTCATTTAATAGTTCTATTTTCTAAATAGAAATATCACAATATCACATTGTTTATCGTCACAATATCTATGTATAGATAATGATATGTTGTTTCAAAGTCAACCTCATTGAAATATATAGCGTTTTTTCTCACCGTAACTTTATGAATTTGATATAAAATCAAGGAAAGCTTGGTTATCATGATTTATACTAGCATATAAATGTAACTATCACAAGTTAAAGAAAATTTGATCGCTAAGCTTTAAATGGTTTTTTTCTTCCATTGTGTCTAAAAATTTTGGTAAATACCAAAAATTCGATTTCAACCGACCGTGTTCGGGTTCAGTCCACCGAATCCGTATTGGAAAAGACATGTTGACTATAATTCCGAATTCACTGCGTGTATCTGTACGAAATGTGCTAGCTTTTAGTGGAACGTACAAATCTGCTGCACACAAGAATTAGTGGGATTACAAAAGTATTTGTACTCAAGATATGTTTGTGATTTGCCGACATCAGTCTAACCCAGACTCTAACAAGTTGGAGTAAATGGTGATGTTTGTGTGAAAATGAAAGCACTTTTGTTGATTATACCGTTTAAATACATATCTTCAGGTTTTTTAGTATCCCAGTATATTGTATCTAGTATTTATTCTCTTCTACCTCTAACTGCGGCAAAATCTGTGATGCAGAGTAAAATAATTGATAACTCTTATAACAAATACATGATATCATGGGGAGTGGCACTCTGTAAAAAGTCGTGGCATGCACACTTTGATCCCAATACTCACATGTACGTTAACTAACAAGACTTTAAAAGTTTATTTTATTTTATAATATATTTCATTATATAATTTCGTACGACTTACTGACTCAAACCAAAAACCGAACAGATTACGTAAATAACACTTTCATGTCGGTGGGAGACACAATGTAAGAAGAATTTATTACTCGTAAAAGAATATTTCAGATGGGAGGGTTACTGCTGGGGGAGGGCAGAGCTCTCCTAAGGGTCTGCCTTCCATGTCACCAAGGTTGACATGCAACTTGTGAGGGTGGAGCAAAGTAAACTCGCAAAAATTACATTTTTGCGTTAAATGAATAAATATTCACAGAAAGTCATTGTAAACAGTATCGAGCTCACGCTACAAATTGGAACTACCGTTACTGTTTTCTAGCAAATAAATGATTTCTGGCAATATTTACCACTTGAAGGCTGAGGACAATGATGCAGAAATTTGTATGTACATATTTTTGTTCTAAATAATATTTGCATTATGTCTATATAATCATGTTTGCGAATAAATTTTGATATCAAGAAACTTTTTTTTTTATTTTAATATACATAATTATCGATTTTTGACACTCGAATTGTACTATAATTCTAGTTAATAATAAAATCTTTAATTATAGTTGTTCACACATTTTACTGTTAATAAAGAATGATTTGACTGGTATCAACGGATCTTTATTGTATTCGATGCTTGGCCCGGCATGGCCAAGTGGATAAGGCGCTCGACTTGCAATCTGAGGGTCGTGGGTTCGAATCCCCGTCCCACCAAATATGCTCGCTCTTTCAGCCGTGGGGGCGTTATAATGTGACGGTCAATCCCACTATTCCTTGGTAAAAGAGTAGCCCAAGAATTGGCGGTGGGTGGTGATTACTAGCTGCCTTCCCTCTAGTCTTACACTGCTAAATTAGGGACGGCTAGCGCAGATAGCCCTCGTGTAGCTTTGCGCGAAATTCAAAAACAAACAAACAATTGTATTCGATGCGTTAATATAGTTTAAAATTAGACATTTCTAATATACAAACGTGGATGTTAATTTTTAGATATTTTTTCTTCCTAAGAAAACAATTGTATAAATTTCCCTTGAACTTTTTATATTATACAGATGTCAAATTTTGATTGTATTTAAGAAAATAATTATCATTAATGTTATTGAAAAGCTTTAACACTGTAACATTTAACTTGCCACTCCCTTATAATGAAATTAATAAAGGCAAAAAATGACTTATTATTCGTAAATTTTAGCCCTATTCAGAATGAAATTATATATGAAATTAATCAAACTGTAGGATAATAAATCCAACAAGAATAAACATAAAATCTAATGCAATATTGTATTAGCCTGAGGTTAATGGCTAGTACAAACAAACAGTTTATAACGGAATGAGGAGACTTATTTTACGTAAAAGTCAAACTAGTATATTAATCATGCAATTTGACTTATGCATATATTTCGAGTTTTTCCTAGATTAGATGTTTTATCTTAAGTATACTTGAATGTAATCATGCTAAATATTCAGGTCATTTCCCTGTACACGGATAAGAAAATGTATTCATTATTTTACTGTTTTCCTGTATCTCAAATGGGGTCAACAAATCGTTAAATTTCATAATGGAACACGTTCTGAATCCCTATAAACCCCAAAGATCACGACTTAAGATAACTACGCAACTTTCATGTTTTACACTTATTTCGAGGTACTAAACATCATGATTACATAAGTACTACCTACTTTGTTAACGGAATATAATCTATAAGTAACAGAAAGTTTCTACAAGTTTTAATTCAAAATCACATTTTAAGGGACATACTTCGATGCCAAGGTCTCACAAGACTATCTTGTTCATTTTCATTTATATAAGATAAATAACTGAAGAATTACAGAAGTTATTCATAAAAATAAAATTACACATGTTCATTTCGACAGTAAAAAGTTAAACATTTTTTTTTTACAACTATGTTAAGACTTGTTCATTACTACCTCTCAAACAGTTCAGTTGACGGTTTAATTCTTTCTCAAACCACTTTAAGATAAAATAAAAATGTAGAAAAATGAAAATTATTATTTCAAATTTGTGAAGATAAGTTAAGTTGTGGTTATTTTTATAAGCGTTCCTTTGACATGTACCTACAAGAAGCACCTGTGAACCCATGCTCAGTGTTTGTTGATAAGAAGCACTCATGAACACAGGGTGAATATATGAACACTCATAAAAGTTTTGTCCACAGTTTTGTTTAGGGAGTGAGAATATATGTTTTTTGCTTATCATAAAATATTTTAAGTAAATATATGAGCCTTTACCTACAACAAAATAAAAGCTTTTATACTAAACAATTTTAATCTTCAATACTTCTAAAAAGAACATTTGGGACGGTATATGAAAGGTATTATTTATATATGTTTTTTCTTTCATCTACTATATTGTAGAAATGGTAGAAGAATGAAACAAACGAAGCAAAATTTCGAAACTGTTTTCCGCAGCATTGTTTTATTCTCGGTTGTTTGGTGGTACGTTTACGAACTTACAACGTTAAATCTAGGGTTTGATTCTCCGCGGTGGACAGAGCGTTGATAGCACATTCTGTAGCTTCTCACTAAAACAACAACAAAAAAATCTAAA